TACTGTTTTTTTTTTTTTTTTTTTTTTTGGTTTTTCGAGACAGGGTTTCCCTGTGGCTTTGGAGGCTATCCTGGAACTCACAGTGATCCGCCTGCCTCTGCCTCCCGAGTGCTGGGATTAAAGGCGTGCGCCACCAACGCCCGGCTATACTGTTTGTTTTTGAGATAGTCTCATGCTATAGTTCAGGCTGGTCTGGAATTCACTAAAGTAATGCAGGCTAGCCTTGAACTCCTTATCCTCCTTCCTTGTTTGTTCCCTCTAGTGCTGGGATTACTGGAGTGAGCCACCACCATGGCCGGCTTTGCACATGGTATCGCTTCCTTATGTGTTGCCTCAATTTAACATATTTTGGGTCCCTCTGATGTACTCTAAGGCAGAAGATACAATGGTGAAGATTAATTTGGTCCCTATCCTAATGATAATTAGAATGTAATTGGGTGGGGGAACATAGTCTCAGTGAAACCCAAGCAATGTTATGGTGTTAACTGGAGAAAGTGTTCGGAGAGAGAAGCATAGGATGTTTTGCATGGATAGATGACCCTACCTAAAGGCTTGGTGCAGTTCCATACAAGAAGGTGGCTTTGCAGCTGAGACCAAAAAAAAAAGGATTAACTATGGGGTGGGGAAGATGGCTCAGCAGTTAAAGAACTGGCTGTTCTTGCTGAGGATCTGCTTTGATTCCCAGCACCCACATGATAGCTCATAGCAATCTGTAACTATGGCTCCAGGGTACCTGATTCAATATTCTGGCCTCTGTGGGTACCAGAGCATGTGTGTGGCACACACACACACACACACACACACACACACACACACACACACACACACACTCACTCACTCACTCACTCACTCAGGCAAAATACTCATATAAGTAAATAAATCCAAAAAAAATTTTAAAGACTTAATTATGACTGGAGAAAGGAATGCTTAGAGGTTAGCAGGAACTCTGTGTCCTTAGCACCTGTGACAGGGGGAAAATCAGGAGACCCAAGGAACTCGGTGTGATTAGAGAGGTCACTGAGCAAGGAGCAGCAGCAGCTCTGTCAAGGTCTTTGTAGTTCACAGTGATGTTTTCCTACTTCATCCAAAAGGCAGCGGAAGGTCATTGGGAGCTTTTGCAGTCAGGAGTGTAGGGTGTGTTGATGTGTTCAGATTAATGCCTGCCTCCCTGCCTCCCTGCCTTCTTCTCTCCCTCCCTCCCTCCTAGCCTCCCTCCTTCCCCCTTCCCTCCCTCCCCCCACCCCTCTTCCTCCCTTCCTCTTAAAGCACTGTTGAATTCTAAGTAGAGATCTGTGAGGAAAGGTTTTCCACAACTAAGAAGACCATGAGACAGGGAAAGAGGTGGTGGTTTGGATTTGGCATTAAGACTAGTGATGGCCGAGGATTAAAGGAAACTTGTATTTTGAAGCTTGAATTGGTAGAACTTTGTGAGAAATGGATTTGATACAGGGAAAGGGAGGGAGAGAGAGAGAATATGACTATCAAGGGTAAATACTAAATGTCTGTATTGAATTGGGTATGTATAAAAGGCCTTTGTTTTTTTTTTTGCTTTTGTAGGTAATGTGTAGTATGCAAACCCATATGTGTGTGGATGTGCATGTACATGTGTGCAGGTTCAGCCAGGTTGATGTTAGCTGACTTCCTTGATTATTCTCCACCTTGAACTTTACATATTTAGGTAGGATCTCTCAACTGAGCCCAGAGCTTCCTGATTGTGCTTGTTCAGGCTACCAGCTTGCCTCAGAGATCCCATCTCTGCCTCCCACCTGCTAAGATTACAGGCGGGCCACCATGCCATCAGGCATGTATAGACTCTGACCTGTGGTTCCCATATTCGTATGGCAGGCACTTTACCCACTGAGCCTTTATATTGATTTTGTTTTGTTTTGTTCCAGACAGGGGTTCTCTGTATTGTTTTGGAGCCTGTCCTGGAACTCTCTCGGTAGACCAGGCTGGTCTCGAACTCACAGCGATCCACCTGCCTCTGCCTCCTGAGTGTTGGAATTAAAGGCATGCGCCACCAACGCCCAGCTTGTATTGATATTTTAAGCAATGTAGATGGAAGTTCTGTCCCATCTGGTCCCACTGCCCTTAAGCCCCAAATAAACACACTGAGACTTATATTAATTAGAAACTGTTTGACCAATAGCTCCTGCTGCTTCTTGGCTAACTCTTTCTTAATTATCGACCCGTAACTATTAATCTATGTATTTCTACATGGCCTTATCTTACCGGAGAATATCTGGACCTTTACTCCTTCTGCAGCTACATGGCATCCCTCTATTGGCTTCTCTCTGCCTCCTCTCCCCAGAATTCTCCTTGTCTGCTAGCCCTTCCTATATTCCTGCCTGCCTAATGGCCAATCAGTGTTTTATTCATCAACCAATAAGAGAAACATATATACAGAAGGACCATCCGAGAAGCAGATTGAAATGGGACATCAGGAACTTATGTGAAAGTATTTTCTCTATGGTCTTCCGTCTTTTCACTTAAACTCCGCAAAATTCTGCTGAAGACTGCCCCCTTGCACACCACAGGGGGAACACACTGTTACTTGACTTCTCTCAGCACCAATATTTCAGAGTGTGCTTCCTGCTCCCTTGTTGAACTGGGATTCCTTTGTCAGGAGGTACTTTGCTGCTCTTGGAAAAGGATTCATTTCCCCTCAAGTGGTTTCCCCCAAGTTAAAGGCTTCGTTTTCTTAGTTCTGGTTAATGCTGGAGAGAGCTCATGCTTCTATATTGCAGAAGAGCGTTTGTGTTCTCATGAGCGTAGTAGTATAGAGCATAGCGCACAAAGCTATCCATTTCTGCCTCTTCTCCACCGCTTTTGTCTTTTGCACATCTCATAGTTCTCGTGTTGGAATGCAGAGGTGGGAGTAGACTTCTGTAGGAATTGCTGACTTGAACACGAGTCTGACACTGAGTAGGCATGAAGTTTAGAGTGTGGACTGCGTGGCAGGTTTATCTGGTGGCTGTCAGAAAATGTCTGTGGGAAGCTCATTTTGCCTGCAGTTGCTGCAGACGTTTCTTTTACTCCCAGTGATGAAAACAAACATCAAGAGATGAGAATTGACTTCCTATTGTTTGTTCCTGCCAGACTGAAAAGGGATGGTGGCACAGCGACACAAACTGTCTTTATCTTTGCAGTTCCACTGGCAAGAAGTGAACAGAAAACTCCTTAGCGTCTCGCTATCCCCACTCTTGGCCATTTTCTTTATTAACTCCAAATTTCAAACAGTACCTTTCCTACAACACTGACTTGCTCATAATATAACATGATTACATTAGCAACGTTTTTACCTTTTGGTAAAAGAAGTGTTCAACATTTTTCTAAGGCTATTTATATTCTGTTTTTGAGTGTTGACTATTGTTGTACAAAACCTGGGTTTCAGAGAAATAAAGAGGATTGAATAAATGGGAAGGTTTTTTTTGTGTGTCTGTGTGCCTGTTTCCCTAAAAGTGTCTGGGTTTATCTTAGATGGACTTTTCTGCTTTCTTCCTTTGTTCCTGCTGTTTCTCCTCCCTCCATCCTCCCTTTCTTCTGCTCTCTCTTCTCTTCCTCCTCTCCCCCCTCCTCCTTTTCCTTGACTTCTCTCCCCTGTTCCTCTCTTCCCACCTTCCTGTAAAGCTGGAGTGCTCAAGACTGTAGAACCTAATGGAAAGTTTTACCAGGAACTCACAGACTCAGAATTATTTTTTAATTTGGGCTTTATTTTGAAATGCCAAATTGAAAGTAATTGCCAGTCATGGTGACTCACACCTTTGATCCCAGCATTCAGGAAGAAGGATTAGTCAGATCCCTGTGAATTTGAGGCCAACCTGGTCTACATATTGAGTTCCAGGATAGCCAGGGCTACATAGAAAGGCCTTGTCCCCTGCCCAAAAAAAAAAAAAAAAAAAAAAAAAAAAGAAAAAAGAAAAAAAAGAGGAAATAACTCCATAGGGATTTTTGTTGTTGTTTGTTTTCTGAGAGGTGGCATCACTGTAGCACATGGAAGTCACTGGCCTTGAACTCACAGACATCCTCCTGCTTCTCTGACTTCCCAAGTGCTGGGATTAAATCCATGTGCTACCATGTTCTATTTTTTGTTTTTTGTTTTGTTGAATGTTTTTAAAATACTGTCTAGAGTAATAGTGTTAATAAAGTAATAGTGATAGTCACAGCCACATCCACACTATACTGCCACTTCTGGATTTAGCATTTTCATTTACATATCCTGCCTAATATTGTTACATGTGCGTGCATATTGGAGTATGTTTGTATGCTAGGGAAAGCATCATTGGCCCTGTTATTAGACAAGACATCATTAGCTTCTGTCATCAGGGTCAGCCTTTATAACTGTACCCCTGAGGTCACCATCAAGAACAGATAAAGAAATATATAGATTGTCCTGTGTACTTTCAAAAATAAAAGTACAAAAATAACCTATAGATATATTCTTCTAACTTAATATTTTATTCTTTAAGAAGTTTATATATAAAATGTATTTTGATTTTATCTCTCCTTCTACTCCAGAGCCCCCAACACACTCCCCTCCCAATTTTATGTGGTCCTCCCCCCACCACCAATAGAGTCCAACTAGTACTGCCCATGCTCATAGGTGTGGGTCCATTCACCTACCAGTGGACATATTCCCAAAGAAAGATGCTTCTCCCTCCTCATGCAGCCACAACTGCTCTTCAGCTAGGGTTGATGCCTTGTGTGAGCTTCTTCCTCTAAAGACATATCCTTAGTACCATTGATGGAGACTGTATGAGTATAGTTATCGAGGAAAACATGCATTTTTGATGTTTCCTCCTTAGATATTATTTCAGTCATTTCAGTGTTGTATGTAAACATGACTGTACCTAGTGATCTTCAGTTAAGTATTCTATTGGAAAAGCCTTACCTCATGGCACATTGTATTTTGTATAATCCACTTGGTACAATAGGCTTCTGATACAGCATTGTTCTCTAGGAAAGCCATTCTGATTGTAGAAACTGCTACTTTGTTTCAGGTCGGTCTTCTCTCTTTCCCTTTGAAGACGCCTTCTTGGATGACAGCCACGGTGATCAGGCTTTATCATCTGGCTTAAGTTCTCCCACTCGATGTCAAAATGGGGAACGAGTGGAACGCTACTCTAGAAAGGTGTTTGTTGGAGGCCTTCCTCCTGACATCGATGAAGGTACCAAACATTCACTAAGAACTTTGCAAGAGCTAACTTTTGTGCATTGTGTTCAGACCCTGGCTCTTCTCCAAGCCAACATCAGTAAACACACATTGAGTATGTAAATGAAGTTAAACAATGACAAAGCAAACTTAAAGAAACCACTCTAGTTCTCATAGACTTTGGATGTGCTGTGGAAATCTTCCTAACACCGACTTGCTTGGTCAGTGCAGCTCTAATACTAATCTAAATAGGTCACGGTTTCTTTAGCCATTTCATCATCTGTGAGTGTATGCAGGTGCTAAAATTAGTTTTAGACTTGCTACATTAAAGTTGTAGGTGGTCACAGCCTCATTTTCCTCTAGCTGTCCTCATATCTGTGTTAATATTGTCAATCAATTAGATTTTCTTTAGGATAAATTTCTTACCATTACTAATAGAATGAGGATCTATACCCAGGGAGTTACAAAGTCATAATCTTCTCCTACCAGTCAAAAGTCAAAAGAAAGAGATAAAATAATTGAGCTTCGGCTGGGCGGTGGTGGCGCACACCTTTAATCCCAGCACTCGGGAGGCAGAGGCAGGCGGATCTCTGTGAGTTTGAGGCCGGGCTGGACCGATAGCCTCCAAAACAATACAGAGAAACCCTGTATCGTAAGAAAAAAAAATGAGCTTCCAGTTTTGTATACATCTCAGTAAAGAAGGCAGTATGGAGATATAAGAGAGAGAGTTGACTTTTAACCCTTTTACATCACCAAATATATTCATCTACTTTGTTGTCCTTGTTGCTCATCTTTAGAATTATCTGTTTTTTAAAGTAACCCTAGAGATTCCATACAAGTGGGTTCTGTACAAATGTTTATATGTGTAGTTTTTTTAATTTACATTTATTTATTTGGGGGTTATATGCATGCCACAGCACAAAGGACAATTTGTCTTGCTACCATTTGAGCCCCAGGTATTGAACTTAGGTCATCAGGCTTTGTGGCATGGGCCTTTATGCACTGAGCTTCTCTCCTGTCCATGAAATTAATTTGAAACATTTTCTGCATCTTTACCTTTTTTCTAAAAATAGAGAAACATTCCCATTTTTTGGAATCTCCTGTTTCACTTAACACAAAGATCACCTTGGCTACCATTAGATTTTTCTTCCGAATTCCTTATTAAGTTTATTGGCAGTAAAAGGAAAGGAATTGGAGTTAGGAACATTTTTTTTGTTGTTGGAATCTAATAAGCAAGTGTACTCCCTAGCAATGGCGTTTCCCCTTTGCAGGTTTTACTTCTGTAGAGATACTGTAGAAAAGCTCTAAAAATAAATGCAAGGAGGGGGGTCCCTCAAAACATCTTTAAAGTAAAAAGATATATTTTATGTTTCTTATGATTGCAGATTTTCTTTTTCATTTTGCTAAATTTCTTCTTTGTTTTGTAGATGAGATCACTGCCAGCTTTCGAAGGTTTGGACCTCTTGTGGTAGACTGGCCCCATAAAGCAGAGAGCAAGTCCTACTTCCCTCCTAAAGGTAATGGACTCAAGATGTTAGCCTGTCTGTCCGAGGCCAGGATGCCTGACAGCTCCGTATAAGACGTTCTTGCAGTCTTGAAATACCTGTTGGTCCCTTTTCCCTAAGTAAAATAGCACTGATCACCAGTATGTGTCCGTTTCACTTGGAGATGCTTCCCTGGCCCGGAGTGCACTGTGTTTGATAACCCTGGTTTTATTAGCAGTGGGGTTTTGTAAATTTGTTATAGAGGAGCTTTTTGTTAAGTTTGTTGTTTCATGAGGGGGAAAATCTAGGGTTTTTAAGAATGTAAGCAAGGGTAAAATTTAGTTTTTGTTTGTATCCCTAGAGCCATGCGGGGTTTTTTTTGTTATTGTTGTTGTGTTTTTTGTTTTGTTTTGTTTACTTTTAAATAAATCTTATAATCCCAGAACTTGAGAAAGCTAGTGGCTAAAAAATGCCGTTGTGTGGTGTGTCCATTAGGCACAGCTATATGGTAAGGGGCTGGGCCTGTTGGGAGGCAGAGAACTAATTAGTAAAATGTTCTTCACAACATCTTACTTGTCTTGTGGGAGATTTTCCACTAAGCTCTGAGGGTACACAGTATATTGTCTTCCACTAAGCTCTGAGGGTACACAGTATATTGTCTTCCACTAAGCTCTGAGGGTACACAGTATATTGTCTTCCACTAAGCTCTGAGGGTACACAGTATATTGTCTTCCACTAAGCTCTGAGGGTACACAGTAGATTGTCTTCCACTAAGCTCTGAGGGTACACAGTATATTGTCTTCCACTAAGCTCTGAGGGTACACAGTATATTGTCTTCCACTAAGCTCTGAGGGTACACAGTAGATTGTCTTCCACTAAGCTCTGAGGGTACACAGTATATTGTCTTCCACTAAGCTCTGAGGGTACACAGTAGATTGTCTTCCACTAAGCTCTGAGGGTACACAGTAGATTGTCTTCCACTAAGCTCTGAGGGTACACAGTATATTGTCTTCCACTAAGCTCTGAGGGTACACAGTAGATTGTCTTCCACTAAGCTCTGAGGGTACACAGTAGATTGTCTTCCACTAAGCTCTGAGGGTACACAGTATATTGTCTTCCACTAAGCTCTGAGGGTACACAGTAGATTGTCTTCCACTAAGCTCTGAGGGTACACAGTAGATTGTCTTCTTGCTCAGCGTTGGTTGTTTCTGTAGAGTCCAAGGAACATCTGTGCTGATGCTCTTTTGGGTGTGTTCTTACATTCAAATAATAGGTACTTTGGATTCAGGAGAATGAGTTTCTCTTTCCTGTTTTCTTCTGAAGTCTGTGTTTCAGGGATGCCATTCATCTTGGAAAATGACTTGTGGTCTATTACTATGTAACATTATCCGTCATGAGGTGATGAAGTCAACATCCTGTCTTTCCTGTGCTGGAATCAAACTCTAGCTTAAGTGATGGAAGACTGCTCACTTCCTGTTATGTCCAGTTCATAGGTCTCTTTCTCGATTACCCTTTTCCTCACTGTATAACCCAAGAAAGGAAGTTACCACTAGAGAGTTGTTGCTTTTAATATCTTCTGTTAATTTCTTTCAGGTTTTGATTACTTGGGGGGGTGGGGGTTGTTGTTGTTTTTAAGATGGGTCCTCCTTCCCAGTGTATCCGGGGCTGGGCAGTAAACTCAGAATATTCTTGCCTCAGCCTCCCAAGTGCTAGAGTTATAGACACGCACAACCATATCTACTCAGAACATCCTTATGTTTTGAAGGTTAGCTTATGTCCATCCAAAGAGATAAAAAGCATTATACTAATTATTTGAGTGGAAGGATGTGTTCCTCCTCCCTGTAATACATGAACTACACCATTTAAAGATGTGTATACAAATATGTTTTCAGACCTGGTAATGTTGTATACACTTGTGATCTAGTGTTTCATCAGTGAGTGAATATGTTCATCATAGTGTAGTACATGTCATATGTTTTATAAAATGATACCCATGAAAGATATTTCCAAGAGTGATAAGTAAAAACAGTCATACTGAGAAGTTTATGAAAACTGTCCTTGCATAAAGTTGTCAGATGATCATTGGAAAAATAGAAGGATACTAAATATGTATATGGTCATGTTCATATTATCACCCCAAATGTATGTCTGTGAGAGATAACCATTATGTATATTTTACTAAATAGCCTCCTTATTAACATGTAGGTTAGTGTGAAATTTAAATTTTTACATATGTGCATTATTATATTATGTATGCTGATTTATTGTATACATTTCCCCCAATAATATTAGCATCTTTTTGTAACAGACCTATATCGTTAATTAGCATAGTTTATTTATTCAAGTCTATTGATGGTATTTAAGTTGTTTTTGCTCATAAATTATGCTTTTGTATTCTCATGTTTTCATACTTTTTGCCTTCTGGATTTTCTTTGCATGGAGAGAGGTGCTAGGGATTGAACCCTGGGCCTTTTGTACCTTGGCCCTAACTTACAGCTTAAACATTATCTCCTAGGATGAATTTCTGTTCTCATTGTTAGTAACTTGGTTTACAAAACTCAGTCTTGATTAGAGTTAGGGAAATTATTCCTTTTTAATTTTTACCAATTTATGGTTTCAAATAACACTTTGAGGGCATTTCTTTTCTCTTTCCTATCATATTGTTTTGCTTATTTTGTGAAATGTATATTTGTCCCAACAACCTCTTAGGTGTTTGATTTTTTTTTTTGTAAAAACATCTTTTATATTAGTGATTTTTACTTTTAAATGGTCTGGAGTAGCCTAGGATGGACTTAAACTTACTGTGTAGCTGAGGATGACCTTTAACTACAGACATGAACCACTGAACTTGGTCTTATGAGGTCAAATTCAGGGTCCCATTGATTTTTTCTCAAAGAGATTTAAAAATACAAATATAACCAGGCATGGTAGTGCATTCACTTAATTCCAGCACTTGGGAGGTAGAGGCAGGCGGATCTCTGTGACTTCAAGTATTCAAAGGACTAAATTCTGTGCTTGTAACAGCTCCTGCATGGTATTATGAATGATGATATTTCTATTAAACTGTAAGACAATATGTAATCCATACCAAGTTAGTAAAATTATTCTAAGCATCCAGAAGAAGAAATTGCTGCGGGCTTTGTGAAATCCGAACCTTTGGGATAGGTAGGAGAAGAAAGGCAGAAAATGCTAAGGGCAGTGCGATCATATTATTTAGGTTGGTTGATGTTTGCTGTGAGACAGGCAATAGGACACTATTTTTTGTTCTTAATCTCATTTAACCATCTCAATTTTTCATGGTAGGCACCTGTATTAGTTACTGTTCTATTGCTGTGAGGAGACACCATGGCCAAGATAACTGATAGAAGAAAGTATTTATTTGGGGGCTTGCCTACAGTTTCAGAGGGGTCATAATTATCATGGCGGGGAGCAGGCAAGCAGGTAGGCATGGCACTAGAGTAGTAGTGAGAGCTTACTTCTTTGTTTTTTGTTTGTTTTTTTTTTGTTTTTGTTTTTATGAGACAGGGTTTCTCTGTATTGTTTTGGAGGCTGTTGGTCCAGCCCGGCCTCGAACTCACAGAGATCCGCCTACCTCTGCCTCCCAAGTGCTGGGATTAAAGGTGTGTGCCACCACCGCCCGGCCAAGAGCTTACTTCTAATCCACAAGCAGCAGGTAGAGATAGACTGGGCCTGGTGTGGGGTTTTGAGACCTCAGAGCCCATCCCTGATGACACGTCTACAAGGCCACACCTACTCAACATATCCACACCTCCTAATCCTTTCCAAACAGTTCCATTAGCTGGGTATCAGACATTCAAACATATGAGCCTGTGGGGGTCATTTTCATTCAAACCACCATAACTCCATATTATTCCCATATTATAGAAGCAGACATAAATTCAGAAGAGAGTAATTAGTCAAAGGCCATAGGTAGGACTTGGTTTTGAGTCAAAACAGCATGATCTTAGAATTCAAAGGCTTCTCCTCTAGCCTCTCCCAGACAGGATGCCATGTATACCACATTGGACTTAAAGTTTGCTACACAGCCAAAAATGACCTTGAACTTGTGGTTCTTCTGTGCTGCCTCCCAGGTGTCCATCTCCCAGGCACTAGGGTTACATACTTGTGACGCTGGGGATGTAATCTAGGTCTTCATGCATCCTAGAAAAACACTGCCGGTGGAGCTTCATCTCCAGCACACTCCCTGCTTTGGGAGGAGGGGAATGCTGGAGACATGGTCTGGTTTTGAACTCTATCGGTATCTGAGGATGACCTTGAACCCCTTAGGTGCTGTGATTTCATGTGTCATCATGGCTGGCTATGAGTCCAGAGTTATTAATTGTTTTAGTCTTACTTAGAAATAAGGATATCACAAAGGTGTACATGTTCAGGTTGGTCTTTAAGGATGAGTGAAGTCAGAGCCTTAATCATATTTGAGCTGAGTAATGTGGAATTCCTGTTCCACACCTTGATGGACAACTATTTATCTTCCTAAATTTCATCCAAAAAAAATGAGGATAATGATTGCTCCTTCATGTGGTCTCGTATGCTTAAACAAGATATCGCACATAGAATACTTTGCATAGTATCCCTTTATAACTGAGGGTTCATTTGTTTGAGCAGAGGCATAGTTTTCATGATTAGTTTTTTTGTTTGTTTTTGTTTTGTTTTTTAGTTTTTGAAACAGGATTTCTCTGTGTAACATCTCTGGCTGGAACTAGCTTTGTAGATGAGGCTGTCCTTGAATTCACAGAGATCTGCCTGTCTCTGCCTCCCAAGTGCTGGAATTAACAGCGTGTGCCACCACTGCCCAGCTTCATGGTTAGTTTTATAGAGAAGTTAAGAAGACCTAGGATAAGCCGGGCGGTGGTGGCGCACGCCTTTAATCCCAGCACTGGGGAGGCAGGCGGATCTTTGTGCGTTCGAGGCCAGGCTGGACCGATAGCCTCCGAAACAATACAGAGAAACCCTGTCTCGTAAAAACCAAAAAAAAAAAGAAGAAGACCTAGGATATTAGCATTGAGATATTATGA